AGTATTTAGTTTCTCATTTGTACTAGTTTCATATCAAGGGTTCAACAGCTATGTGTGGCTATTGGCTCCTGTATTGGACAACACAAATGCAGAACGTTTCCACCATTGCAGAGATTGTTCTATCGGATAACACTGCTGCAGGTCTCAAATAGCAAAAAAGCCATAAGCTATTTCTGAGTGTAAGATGTTATCCCTTTGTGAGGAATGCTCATTCCGTTTGCTTTGAGAAGAATAAAAAATTGTATGTGTGTGATGACTTAGGGTGAATAAAGGTGTTATAGAAAGGAGATGCCCATTCAATTATGCAATGACATGAGATCCTGGAAAGAGTAAAATTAACCACAATACTTGAAGATGCCAGTCCTCACATACTTCTTTTGATATGACTCATCAAAGGGAGACAGAGTCTGCTGCCTGTATGTTCACTTTGGAGTTGAAATTGATTGTATCCAAAAGTTTAATAAACTTATTTTTGGCTAGACCTTAGAAAATTTATGAGGAAGGTAGTCATCAGATTGAAAAGCCAGATAATGACAACCAATTCTGTGCCTAGGGCCATTCAGTTTTAAACTGAGAGGTAGAGAATTAGGTCAGGCTCCTTAGGTCCTGCAAATGGTTAAGTGCTTGGTTGTTAACCTAAAGGTTCATGGTTGAAACTCACCCAGAGACATCTCAGAAGAAAGGCCTGGCAATCAGTTTCTGGAGGGTCACACCCATTGTAAACCTTGTGGAGGACAGTTCTACTCTGACATACCTGGGATCGCCATGAGTTAGAATTGACTCGACAGCATGGTTTGGTTTAATAGAAACATACCTATAGTCTTAAGTCTTATGGCCAGTTGTCCCAAAAGAAGTTGTGATGCCTGAGTTTCCATGTTGTTGTTGTTGTTATGTGCTGTCAAGTCTGACCAGACTCATAGCAACCCCTCTGTTCCGGTTACCTAGTGCCACTCTAACAAGAATATATACCGTAAATGGAATGGCTTAAACAAACAGTAGTTTATTCTAACAGTTTGGAGGTTTTTAGTCCAAGTTCAAAGTGCCAGGCTTTAGGGGCTGGGTGAAAGTCCCTCAGCCTTGGGCTTCATCTCTGCCTCCAGCTCCCAGCCCACTGAAGCTAGAAGCTTTTCTTCACTCAGCTTCTGGCTGCTGAGGCTGCCAAGCCCAAGGTTGACAAGTAAAAAGGCACGGTCCAGATGGTACCAAACTGCATGGCAGGTCATTATTTCAAGTCCATTGTAAATCCCAAAGTCAGCTGAGCATGGCAGGCTGCTGAACAACAACAGGGCTACATGCTGGGTCTAAGCGTGCCATAAGCTAGAGACCATTCCCCAAGGCTTCTGCTTATATACGGGAAGCAGACCATATTCCCTAAGGCAGCTACCTACTCAGCTGCTAACAATAGATTCCACCATGGAGTTGATTACCAGTCTCATCATGGGAAATACTACATCCAGCTGCCAAGCCATTCAACCAGGCCCAGCCAAGTTGACATACAAATTGAACTACCACACCCTCCTTGGGTTTCTGAGGCAGTATCACTATGGAAGTAGATTGCCCAAACTTCCTTCTGAGGAGTGGCTGGTAAGTTTGAACCCCCAGCCTTCTGGTTAGCAGTCAAGTTGCCTTAGGCACTATGCTACCAGAGCTCCCATGGGATTCCATAGTGGTGATGCTTTCTAAATCCCTGCTCTTGGGCTTGAAGATTTAATTCTGTCTTCAATGTATTCTTTTGTCCTTAAATGAAACTCTAGACACAAAATCAAAGTTGAAATTATTTTTTGACCATTTCCTTCTATTCAGTTTTTTTGGGGGAGGTGGGGGGGGGGAGGTGGAGTGGCAGTAAATTGAAAGTGCAAGAAGAGACGGTTTAAAGGAGTCTTGTCTATTTATTGTGCAACTTCTGGATTTTCTGAGAGCTTACTTCCTATAAATTTCTAGGCTGAGAGAGATAATCTGTTCTTACAGTGGCAAGTAGGGCACAGAGTTTGGTTCTAATTCTGCATAAAACTATCTTCTGCAAAGGTGAATGTGACTATATGGTCTAAAATCTTATTCTTCAAGATACCTAAGAATGATGGTATATCACTTTGCTTTTTGAAATCAACTAAAATAATGTTTGGTCCTACATTTTGGTACTAAATTTTCTTGTTGCTCCATATTCTCAACTGTTTAACGACTGAGTTTGAATTGCCCATATTCTAACAAGTATACATCCACTCCCCCCGCCTCACCCACCACACTAATAGAAAGCGCCATATGCAGAGAGTTGACCAGTACACATGATGGAAGATGGAGATTATATTGTTTATGGTGTCTTTTGAGAGGTTGTGTCCTGGACAAATCCTCAGGCCATGCACATTTACTGATTATCCAAGAAGAAGGAACAGTACATGACAGGATATGAGACAGCATCTAGTTCTCTCCATCCTCCTTGCCAAATAGATGGGAAAATAGAAGGTTTAGGGAAGTTGAATGATTCGACCAAGGTCTACAGCTACAGAGGTTAAGTGCTGAAGCAGACTTACCTCTCCTGTTTTCCCTGATCTAGACTCTTCCATTCAGTGAAATTGAGTTCTACAAAGTTTTATAAACTGTGCCATAGGGTACTGAATTCCTAGCAAACACTTCTTGGGCTAGTGCTTGGTAAGGGTGATGTTTTGGAATCCTATTAACCTTTCATTGGTGTTCCTATAGTATAAGAATTCATCATAGCCTCTCTGTGGTTATTTCTGCTCTTTGGTATGTATATCTTTGCCACTGTGACTATTAACATAAAAAGGATGGATTGACTTCTGACTATAGGAAATAAATCACCCCAACTTTTGACAGCAGTGTTAGAAAAAAAAAAGAAAAGATTAATTGGTTTTATTTAGAGGCTTATTGTTTATTGTGATAGCTATTAAAAATAGATAACCAGAGGCTAATAAATGTTAATGGTCCCTTCAGTATTAGAAAATCAATTGTCAGGAAATATAGCATATATTAATATATTATTTTGTTTATAATTTTCAGTAACATTAATAACGTTCATCTCTGAGAGAATTATTTTTTGAAGAACCCTGCAAAAAAAAGGTTAATAGTTATTACAAAGAACAGATTTGGCAGGAGGACATTTCATCTGCATATTTTTAATGGCTCTCAAAGCATTATTTTATTATTGTAATAAAATGCGTGTGTAATTTGTCAAGATTGATAAACTCCTTACCAAGGACTCTTATATATTTCTTTGAAACTTGTTCGAGAGCAGTTAGATAGATTTCTAAATGTAAGTAATTAAAATTGTATAGTATTGAGTTATTGACCAATCCTAGACTATTAATCAAGCTAAAAAATTCTACAATCAGTGCTCAGTGTGCTGAAGCCTGGTAAAATAATAGTATTTGTGCTCAGTGAGGCAAGTAGCGACAATTAAGCACTTCACTTGACAAATGAGAGGGTACACTTTATTTTACACTTAATTGAATTGTTGTACATGCTTGGTCACCATTGTCTCCTAGCCCTTCATTTTCGTTTCTGGTCATTGGGAGCTTAAGCATTTGTTCAAGGCAGAGTGGTTAAGTCTGCTTTAGCCATTGGCTTTCTAAATACAGCCAGGAATGTCTGGGCCAAAAATCAGGGCTTTGTGAGTGCTATTAATATCCCTCATGATAGATTACTAAATTAACAAAAATTTTTGATAAACAAATTAGAGCCCTGTCAAGCAATGAATGTGAAATAGCTTTGAATTGGGAAAACCCCTCAGGTTCTATATCACTCACCAGATTCTGCATAAGTAAGCAGAACTTCTGTAGAGAAGACAGAGTTTTAACCCATTTTATGAAAACCAAAAATGGGTTTACTTCTAATGAGTTGTAAAGAATGTTCACTAGCAGTCTTGCTAAGTATCAGGTGTTTGTCACAACTTCCTTCCATTTGCTTTTGCATCAGAGTCATCCTTCTGCAAGCAGTATGATATCCCATCATTTCTGTGCTGCTATAAATCATTGCTTGCTACCAGATCAAACTGAGAAACTCTGAGGTTCAGGAAAAAGACCCAATAGGTAAATTTGGAGGATGGGGACTAGGAATTAGAAGTCAGGATTTATGGGTACATTTCAAGACTGGATTCTTTTACAAAGAGACATCTCTGGATGTGTATCTGTGTTTGTCTGTGCAATATCAGTGGTTATGCTATTGACAGACCTCAAGCCAGTTTATTATTTACTAAAAGTCATATACGTTTACTTGCTTATTTGCCTGTGTGTTTGCCTGGCATTTAGAATATGATTCAGATACCTTTGCATCCAGACCTTATTTCCTGTGTGGACAGTTTATCCTCAGTTTCTTAAACTGACTGATAGAAATAATAACTCTTTTTTTCCCATCCTAGAGAATGATTATAAAGATTATACTTGTTGTTGTTGTTATGTGCCGTTGAGTCGGACCCGACTCATAGCGACCCCTCCTTGGGTTTCCGAGGCAGTATCACTACGGAAGTAGATTGCCCCATCTTCCTTCAGAGGAGTGGCTGGTAGGTTTGAACCGCCAGCCTTCTGGTTAGCAGTCAAGTGCCTTAGCCATTATGCTACCAGAGCTCCCAAAGATTATACTAGATACTTGATTTTAAAACACTTTGAAAGTTAAAAGTGCCATGGAAGCATAAGAGATGATTACATAATTTTTCTTTTTGACATTCTTTTTAGTCAAGACTGTACTTCAGTGAACACAAAAATATACTAATATTTGCCTAGGAGAGATAAGAACAAGAGATTAGTTTCTTGAAATGATGTGATTCATACTAGGAAGGAATCTTCATTTGGAAATTAGTCTCAGCAGTTTTGTAAATTTAGTTCCTGTGACAACAAGTAAACCACTGGGAACTCAATGCCTATAGCCTTACGATCCATTTAAAAAACTGAGAAAATGTCACCCAAAAGTTTTGGCCTTTCCCTCATGGTGTTGAATTCCATTGACTAATGCAGAAAATAATGACCAGGCAGTGTCTTCATTTGTTTCAGACCCTACCAATGCGGTCATTGCTCCCAGTCCTTTTCCCAGCCTTCAGAACTGAGGAACCATGTGGTCACCCACTCCAGTGACCGGCCTTTCAAGTGTGGCTACTGCGGTCGAGCCTTTGCTGGGGCCACCACCCTCAACAACCACATCCGAACTCACACTGGAGAAAAACCCTTCAAGTAAGTAGCGGTTAGCCCTTTCCTCCTCTTGTCTCTTACTAGCCTTTCCCGAGAGCCAGCGGAAGAATGGAGAGATGGGTTGTTGGCACAGTGCTGCCCAACCCAGTCAGCTGATGAAGGCTGTTTGGAAGGTTAATATCCAGTCGGCAGAAGGACCTACTTGTTTAGTGACTGAAACTTGGAAAATGAAATCAGGACACCTATACACTGGTCCTGGTTTGCGTTATGTAACCTTGGACATGAAACAATCTTTCTGAGTCTGTTTTCTCATCTGTAAAATAAGGAGGTAGGAGTAACTAATTTTAAGGTTCTTTCTGGTTCCTGAGGTTCTGTACCTCTAGAATTTGAGCTAGGAGTCACCAGAGCTTTTAGAACCATCAGTAAGCCTCCTGGTCACCAGCAAGATGGCCACATTTTAAGTACATTTGAATAATCATCTCCCAGGGAACATGAACCTTTCAAGATTGTGGTGAACTATTTCCTTTTCTTTCCTATGTGTTACAGAAGTCTGAATCTATTATAGCAACCAGTTTTTGACTTTTCAGTGTACCCTTTAGACTGCAGAATTACCATGTTGGTGAAAAATAAACCTAGACATAGGGCACATCAAAGCCCTTGAGGATTCAGGGAATGTGGGAAGAGAGAATAGAATTTCAAGGGCTTTGGCAAGGCAAAGGCACCTGACAGAGTGTGTATTTCTAGATATATCAGTCATGAACAAAGTCAATCTTAGTTATGCTAGATTACTTATTCATTTATTCATTTGTTTGTTCTTTCATGCATGTGTTCATTCAGCAAATATTTATTGCACATCAATTCTTGTACTAGTCACCCTGCTAAACACAAGGGATGCAAAGGTGAATCAGACTTAGCCCCTGTCCTTTGAAGACCTCATAGTATATGAGGAAGCCTCTTTTGGTTACCTCTAGTGCTGCTCTAACAGAAAAGACCACAAATGGGATGGCTTGAACAAAAAGACATTTATTCTCTTACAGTTTTGGAGGCTAGAAGTCTAAGTTCAAAGTGCCAGGCTCTAGGGGCTGAATGAAAGCACCCTCAACCTTGGGCTTCAGCTCTGCCTCTTGCTCTCAGCCCACTGGAGCTGGAGGCTTTCTCTTCAGTCAGGCAGCTGCTGGCTGGTGAGGCTGACAAGGTCAAGGTCGACAAATAAAAATGGCACAGTCCCAATATTAGCAAACCACAAGGCAGCCCATTGATTCAAGACCATTAAGAGTCCCAAGATTGGCAGACAACATGGCAGGCTGCTGAACAATGACTCGGCTACATGTAGGATTCAAGTGTGCCAAAAGCTGGGACCTTCCTCAAAGTGGCTTCTCATAAACTGGAAGCAGACCACATCCCTAAAGCTACTCAGCTGCTCCAGCAAATTCTACCATGGTGTTAATTACCAGTCTCACCATGGGGAATAACTACATCCAGCTGCCTAGTCACTCAAACCCAGGCCCAGCCAAGTTGACACATAACTTTATCACAAAGCCTGATTAATAAGCAAGTATTACAATATAGGGTGCAAAGTACAACAATAAAGCATGAATCTATAATATTTCAGGGTAGTACAAAGATGAAGTAATCAATACTGTCTGGGAAGATGATATTTAAGATGTGTGTGGAAGGACCAGTTGGGCTTTGCTAGACATATGCAGGGAAAGAGGTACTTCCAGCAGCTCAAACAGCATATGAGCCAGCACGTGGGACTGGCTGCTGGTCTCAGAGTTTTTGCTGTCTGTGTGATGAAGTCTTTTCTGTTCAAACCTGTCACATCTCTCTTTACTCATTCGCTATGCTAGCTTTTCGTAATTTAGAAGGAAAATAAATTTCAATCTGTGGAAGGAATATACAGAGCCACGGTACCAAAAAAAAATTGGTTAACATTCAACCATTTCAAGAGGTAGCATGTGATCAAGAACTGATGGTATTGAAGTAAAAGTCCAAGCTGCACTGAAAGAATTGGTGAAAAACAAGCTCCAGGAATTGACAGAATACCCATTGAGATGTTTCAACAGATGGATACAAAACTGGAAGTGCTCCCTCATGCATGCCAAGAAATTTGGAAGACAGCTACCTGGCCAACTGATGGAAAGAAATCCATAGTTATGCCCATTCCAAAGAAAGGTGATCCAACACAAAGCAGAAATTATCAAACAATATCATTAATATAACATGGAAGTAAAATTATGTTGAAAATAATTCAAAGACAGTTGCAGCAATGTGTAGACAGGCAACTGCCAGAAATTCAAGCCAGATTCAGAAGAGGATGTGGAACAAGGGATATCATTGATTGATATCACATGGATCTTGGCTAAAAGCAAAGAATACCAGAAAGATATTTACCTGTGTTTTGTTGACTCTGCAGACATTTCACTGTGTGGATCATAAAAAATTATGGATAACAGGAATTCCAGAGTACTTCATTGTGCTCATGAAGAACTTGTATATAGAACAAGAGGCTGTCATTCAAACAGAACAAGAGAATACTACATGGTCTAAAATGAGAAAAGGTGTGTGTCAAGGTTGTATACTTTCACCAGTCTTACTCAGTGTGTATGCTTGAGCAAATAATCTGAGAAGCTGCACTATATGAAGAAAAATATGCCATCAGGACTGGAGGAAGACTCATCAACAACCTGTGATACGCAGATGACACCACCTTGCTTGCTGAAAGAGAAGAGGACTTGAAGTTCTTACTGATGAAGATCAAAGACTATATATAGCCTTCAGTATGGATTACACCTCAACATAAAGAAAACAAAAATTCTCACAATGGGACCAATAAGCAACATCATGATAAATGGAGAAAAGTTTGAAGTTGTCAAACATTTCATTTTACTTGGATCCATAATAAATACCCATGGAAGTATCAATCAAGAAATCAGATGACATATTGCACTGGGCAGATCTGCTGCAAAAGGCCTCTTTCCAGTGTTAAAGAGCAAAGATATCACTCTGAACACTAAGGTGTGACTGATCCAAGCCATGATATTTTCAGTAATCATATATGCGTATGAGAGCTGGACAATGAATAAGTGAGACCAGAGAAAAATTGATGCATTTGAATTGTGGTGTTGGCAAAGAATATTGAAGGTACTATGGACTGCTAGAAGAATGACCAAATCTGCCTTGGAGGAATACAGACAAGATGTGCCTTAAAAGTGAGGATGGTGAGACTTCGCCTCTCATACTCCATACATGTTATTGGAGGGACCAGTCCCTGGAGAAGGACATCGTGCTTGGTAAAGTAGAGGGTGAGCAAAAAAGAGGAAGACCCTCAATGAGATGGATTGACACAGTGGCTGCAGCAGTGAGCTCAAGCATAGCAACATGTGTGAGCATGGCACAGGGCCTGCAGTGTTTTCCTCTGTTGTTCATGAGGCCACTATGAGTCAAAGCCCACGTGACAGCATTTAACAACAACAACAGGTGTTTAATCTTATTTACCTTCTGTAGGACAAGATCAAACAAGAGAGAAAATGACTCAAGCAGTAGGAAATAATCCCCATATTCAGTCTCAGCCAAAGTCTGGTTAACCCATGATTTCCCTTCCAGACCTATTAGTGTAGTGTTTTAGTTATGGAGGGCTGCTGTAACAGAAATACACTAAGTTATTCTCTTGCAGTTTAAGAGGCTGGAAGTCCAAGTTTGGGACACTGGCTCTAGAGGAAGGCTTTCTCTCCCTGTGTCTATTGGTCCTAGGAGGATCCCAATGCAGCGACCTTGGGTCCAAATGACACACTCTGCTCCTGGCTTCTTTTTCTTGGTGGTGGTAGGTCCACCCTTTTCCAGCTCTCTTCTCTTTCCTTTTACCTCTTGTAAGATAAAAGGTGGGAGCTCTGGTAGCATACTGGGTAAGGCACTTGATTGTTAACCAGAAGGTTGGAGGTTCAAACCCACCAGGCCTCTCCTCAGAAGGAAGATGGGGCAATCTACTTCCTTAGTGATATTGCCTTGGAAACCCAAGGAGGGGTTGCTATGAGTCAGGTCCGACTCGACAGCACATAACAACAACAACAACGACAAGATAAAAGGTGTTATAGGCTACATCCCAGGGAAGCACCCCTTATATTGGATCAGGGCTGTGATGGGTCTAAGAGTATTGCATCCCATCCTTAATTCTCTTATACCTGATCAGCTTATCACATCAGATCATGTCATGGGGGATCATTACATATCTCACACATTACATCATTACACAACTGCTAAGCCATTGATAACCATGGCCCAGCCAAATTGACACAAATTTCTAGAGGACACAATTCAATCCATGCCACATGGTGTGTCTTGGCTGTTGGGTTCAGCCTGAGGCTGGGCTCAGCTCTATGTTGGTAAGCCAGAGTGAGAGTTCAGCTGGTTTGGTTCCTGACCATCTCTGTCTGCCAGCAAGGGAGGAGTTCATAAAAGACCGTCATTTTCACTCCCCTACTCAAGAATTAGATACCTCTAATCATCATTCTTAGGAGCTCTGGTAGCATAGTTTCTAAGGCACTTGACTGCTAGCCAGAAGGCTGGTGGTTCAAAACAACCAGCCACTCCTCTGAAGGATGATGGGGCAATCTACTTCTGTAGTGATACTGCTTTGGTAACCCAAGGAGGGGTTGCTATGAGTTGGGTCCGACTCGATGGCACATAAAAACAACAACAACAATCATCATTCTTAAGGAACTCTGGTGGCATAGTGCCTAAGGCATTTGACTGCTAACCAGGAGGTTAGTGGTTCAAACCCACCAACCACTCTAAGGAAGATAGACTAGGCAATCTACTTGCATAAGGATTTACCACCTCAGAAACCCAAAGGGGGTCACTATAAGTTGGAATCTACTTGATGGCAGTGAATTTGGTTTCTTTGATTTTGGAATCCTCATTCTTATGGAGTTCCTGGATGGCACAGACTATAAAGCACAGGGCTATTAACTAAAGGGTTGGCAATTAAACCCACTCAGAGGTGCCTCAGAAAAAAACCCTGAAAGGTCACAGCCATGAAAGTC